TTATTACAGGATTATATTTCCTCCCTCTGTACATTTGTAATTTTTGTGTATCAGGCGTTTTTAATTTTATGTTGCTAGGAACTAGAAAGATACGTATATTTATATGTATATATTGTGTAGCATACACATCCATATGAAGAGTGAAGCACATCTGAATTGCCTCCCTCCCTTTTGTGTATTTTTCTGAGATAGAACTAAGTTACTCAGAAGCATTTTGATCCTTTCCACACTTGCTTTTAAGGTTTTGTTAGGCAGACCCAGCTCAGCCTTTACTTTAAGGCTAATTGAACCCTGTAGTGAACACAATAACCTTCCAACTACTTTTCCAGATGCCCCGGCTCTTACCATTCCACTTTGGCCATTGGGAACGTGACCTAATCCCAGCCCTGAGTGAGCTCCAATAATCAGTCCACCTGCTTCTTTCCAGTGCTCTTCCCCGGGCCTCAGCCAGTTGCACAAGCATTTGCTGATGGAACCAGCAAAGCTTTCTGTCCGGTGCTGTGCTGTGCTGTGCTGTGCTATGGATTCCAGCTGACTGGGCCTCCTGAATTCTCAGTTGTGCTTCCTCAGCTCAAGGTGACTGCAGAGCTGCGAGTTCCCCTCCCCACAGTGGAGCCTGTAGATTGCTCGCTTCAAGCAGGAAGCTGAGGCAGTTGTAGGGCTCTTGCCTGTTTCTTTTTTCAGAGATCTTTGTCCTGCTTGCCTCTTTTACAATGTCTAGAAACCATTTTTTCAAACATTTTGTCTGATTTTTAGTTATCTAAGACAGCAGGGAAAACCCAGCCCTTGTTGCTCCGTCTTGTCCACAAGTGGAAGTGGCTTGTTGGGCTTTGAATCTTTCCAGTGTTTCCATTTATTAAACAATAAGGACCTACTGAGGCAGGCCCTGTCCCTCTGACTTGCAGGGAATATATGCTTATCCCTCCCCGACTCCACCAGAAATCAGGGAATCCTGCCTTCACAGTGTATAACCAGTTTCATTTGCATTTATTTATTTAGATGCTTCATTTTTCATTTCCCCTCTGCCCTCCCACCCCACCCTNTTGTTTCCCTTCGGCAGTTTCTGTTGGTGTAGTCAAGTTTACTAATCTTTTAGCCTGTAATGTTTTATCATGTGTTAATCCCAGCCAGTAGGTTTTCCATCTCAGATATTGTGTTTCTCATCACAGTGAGATAGATCACTTTAGATCTTTTTATACCTTTCATATCTCTGCTTGGCATGTTCAATCTTTCCCCTACCTTTTTGAGCATATGAAGTATATTTATAACATTTTAATGTACTTGTTCTGTAATTCTGCTGTGTCATTTCTGGGTTTCTGTTGGCTGATTTTTCTTATTACAGGATTATATTTCCTCCCTCTGTACATTTGTAATTTTTGTGTATCAGGCGTTTTTAATTTTATGTTGCTAGGAACTAGAAAGATACGTATATTTATATGTATATATTGTGTAGCATACACATCCATATGAAGAGTGAAGCACATCTGAATTGCCTCCCTCCCTTTTGTGTATTTTTCTGAGATAGAACTAAGTTACTCAGAAGCATTTTGATCCTTTCCACACTTGCTTTTAAGGTTTTGTTAGGCAGACCCAGCTCAGCCTTTACTTTAAGGCTAATTGAACCCTGTAGTGAACACAATAACCTTCCAACTACTTTTCCAGATGCCCCGGCTCTTACCATTCCACTTTGGCCATTGGGAACGTGACCTAATCCCAGCCCTGAGTGAGCTCCAATAATCAGTCCACCTGCTTCTTTCCAGTGCTCTTCCCCGGGCCTCAGCCAGTTGCACAAGCATTTGCTGATGGAACCAGCAAAGCTTTCTGTCCGGTGCTGTGCTGTGCTGTGCTGTGCTATGGATTCCAGCTGACTGGGCCTCCTGAATTCTCAGTTGTGCTTCCTCAGCTCAAGGTGACTGCAGAGCTGCGAGTTCCCCTCCCCACAGTGGAGCCTGTAGATTGCTCGCTTCAAGCAGGAAGCTGAGGCAGTTGTAGGGCTCTTGCCTGTTTCTTTTTTCAGAGATCTTTGTCCTGCTTGCCTCTTTTACAATGTCTAGAAACCATTTTTTCAAACATTTTGTCTGATTTTTAGTTATCTAAGACAGCAGGGAAAACCCAGCCCTTGTTGCTCCGTCTTGTCCACAAGTGGAAGTGGCTTGTTGGGCTTTGAATCTTTCCAGTGTTTCCATTTATTAAACAATAAGGACCTACTGAGGCAGGCCCTGTCCCTCTGACTTGCAGGGAATATATGCTTATCCCTCCCCGACTCCACCAGAAATCAGGGAATCCTGCCTTCACAGTGTATAACCAGTTTCATTTGCATTTATTTATTTAGATGCTTCATTTTTCATTTCCCCTCTGCCCTCCCACCCCACCCTCGGTGATGGTTGTACCCATTTGAGCATTTCTGAGCAGAAGACCATAAGTAAGTCTTAAAACAGGAGCAGAATTGCATTTTATTTTTTACACAACTGACCAGGACAGAGGATCTTACTCCCAGGATTTTTGTAAGGCTTATAGTATCTCAAAAGCTGCTGCAAACATCTTTAAAGCTAAATTAATTTCACTAAAAGAAGTGAAGGGTAAATGTTAATTTTGAGGCATCAAAACCTGGAAATGAAGAAAATCAAGATACCCATCTTGGGTTGGAAGCAATGATTTAGGAGCTAAAAGCCCCTTGTCCTGCTTTCAGAGGGAGAACTCTCCCAGCCTTCACAGCAGGTCAGATGATTCCCCAAAAGGCAGCCCTGGGCTTGGCCCACTTAGCAGGTGGTTCCTGGGTTCCTGGGTGCTGGCTGTGACCTGCTTCCTTTGACGAGCTCACTGAGCTGGAGCCTGGCTGAGAAAGTGGAGGTGGGAGTGAAGAGCATCTAACTGCCCACACCCTTTCTGTGATAGAAAATAGAAAGCCACTTTGCAACTGTGAGCTGCCCACTAGAATCTCTGCAGGGTGCTGGCCTTCCAGGTGCATCCCCTCGTCCAAGGAAGCCAGGAAAAGGCCTCGTAGCAAGAGATTAGCTTAACAGCTGGCTGGCTGCTTTGCTTTACACTGTAGATTTTGCCCTGTAACTCTGCTTTAAAAGCCAGGATATTCCTGAGCTAAGGAGAGAGAGAAAATAATCTGAATCTGGATCCTTGAGTGGGCACAACATCACGCATGTGCTCATCTTAGCGGGGAATGAGAGCCAAGTGGCGTCTGTCATTTTCAGAATGACTTCTGCGCAAATTAGATCCTGTGTTTTTATGACAATGGGAAAGTATAATCAGGACCTTGAAGCCCTGTAAGAAACAGACCAGCCCTTCAGTATGTGAGAAGGGCAGACTCTCAGCTAAGGAAAAAGGGATGGCGCTTATTTACTAGCACATGGGAAAAACCCAGAAATCTTAACAATGAAATCTGAGTTAACCTATTAGAAAAGTCACTTTCTGTGTTAATTTGAACCTTTGGCTTTCTGTGTCTGAGAAGGCTTCAGACTTGTTAGCAGAGTGGTGGGGAACACAGGCTGCCTGGTTCGGCTACCCAGACTTGCACAAGCCCTTTCCCCGTCAACACTGTTTTGTGGCATTACTTACATACTGGTGTATCTTTCCAGTTGTGCTTTGCAGTTAGTGGAGTCTTTCCATTCGCTAGTTTTACATCGGTCCGAGTTGAGGTGTCACATCTCTCTTGCAGATGAGGAAATGGGGAAGGTTCAGAAGCAAGAAAAGTTAAGTGACTTGATCAGTGTCCCAAGTGCAAGGCCCTAGGCAAAAACAAGAGGCTTCGGATTTCAGGTCCCGTGTTCCTTCTGCTAGAAGGTGCTGCCTCTCTCCGGGATCGGTGGAAGACACTGGCACCAGTCCTGAGGCTGATGCTTTATGATTGTTTGTTTATTGTCTCCCTCAGCACACGCTGTAGCAAGTTGTGTTTGTATGTGGCCTAGTGGGGAGTTTACCCATAAAGGTAGCGGGGTCACTGGAGAGCATGGGACCGGCCCGTCTGGCGTCTGGAGAGGTTATGAGAATGCTGGTTGTGGCTTTCTCACAGTTTCCCCCCACTGCTGCCTTGTATCATGTGGCACATACTTTGCTAACTGTGCTTTTGCAAAAGTAAGCAAAGATCAACTCAGAAGGGCAAAACCGCTGAGCAGTGTTCCCGGGGATTGGTCCTCATAGCTTTAACTCGGGGAGGGTGCCCGGCTTTATAGTGTCAACTTGGACGTTAAGAGCAGCAGTCTGGGGCTTCAGGCTTTCAAACAGTTACAAAGGTTGTAACAACTGCTTGCTGAGATGGCTTGTACAGTGTTCAATGGCTAAGCCGTTAACACAGTTTAAACCAGATTAAATAGTAATGATTTACCCTATGACCAAACCATTGAAGGAAATTGACACTAATTGGTTCCTTAAAAAATAAACTATAGAAAACAAATTTATTAAATGGCCTAATATATAATACACGGATGTCTAGCCCCGCCCGCCTTTTTCAGATTGAACCAAATCAGAAATTTAAACCAAATGATTATATGTTACTCATGTTCTAGCAAACAAACTTTCCTTCTATTCCTGTCTTCTAAACTCACAGTAAATCAGAGCATGTTCAGGGCAGGCAGCAGAACTGGGTGGGCTCTCATACCTCAGGCACAGCTAGGGTGAGTCTGAATGCATTTCAGCTACATTTAGGTCTTACTTGTTCCCAGAGTGTCAAATGTAGGGTGTGATGACTTCTGTGAAACAGCAGCTTACAGAATTCACCCTTTATTATTAACAGACTTAATATTTTACGGTAGATGCCCCTCCTCCGCCCCATGCACACCTCTGTAGAGGTACCAAAAGCACTATATTGTAATGACTTCTTTTCCTCTTGAGACTGCAATACAGGTAATGCTCCTTTTCAACTTTGAGAACCAAGACCTGGCACATAGTAGGCATATAAAACTGTTTTTGATGTGACCAAAGATATATAGAAAAAAGTACACCAGTATTTTATTTTAAAGTTTTCTGGTTTTTTTTAACTTTTCACAAAGGATTTGCTGTAAGCCTTCAAGTCATCTTGTCCAATCCAAAAGCTGTATTTAAGCGCCGTGGATCCCAGCCAGGGATGCAAGAATCTGACTTCCTAAAGCAGATAACCACTGTTGAAGAACTGGAACCAAAAGCAAATAACTGCACCAAGGTATTCATTTCACATGTGCTGCTTGACCTAGGCACAGGCCGGCCTTAAGAGCCTGGCTACCCAAAAGGTTTCCCTCCCCTCCTGTAGGTTCTTGTGTGGCACACTCGGACAGAGAAGGTTAATCTAGCCAACGAGCCCAAGCAGCGCCTGGACACGGTGAGGATCGAGGTGTGAACAGGAGCGGCACCGGCCCCTCGCCGCCCGTGCGTGTGGAAGGGGACGCTGGCGGGAGGGCTACAGAGCATTCAGGTATTGTCCGCTTCACTTCAGCACAACAGCTTTATTGACATCTGATGGACATCTGTTAAACAGAGCTTGCCAGTTAACATAAGCTAATCGGACGGTATAAAATGTGTTTTTCTTCATTTGTTCTGCATGTTTTCTCTACAACTAAACTGGAAGATCTTTGTACAGTACAGCTAATGACACTGCAGGTACCATTCTGAGTATCTTACATACTTTCCTTTTTTTCCCCATTTGGCCTTATCATTGGTAGAACTGAACAGGTTTTAGAAACAGATGACAAGTATTTTGTCCCCAATTTCTGACTTAGCAACATTAAGTAATCTACGTAAGGTTGGTGGCAGTATACATATTAGGAAATAAAACCCACAAAAAAAGGTCTATGGATTCATCTATTTAATATAGGGAGAGAACATTTTGTCAATACTAGGCACCATAAAATGTAAACACAATTACTGTCATAAACCTGGATATACCTTCAAGGATTGAAAGTGGCTTTGTTTAGTTACCCTGTTTGCATATAGTGCAGAGAAAGGTCTTCATGTTAGCACTATGTACATAAGAAGAGATCCAAATTGCAGGAGAGGCAGATAAAATTTAAATTCCTTAAATATTCATTAAACTAAGTTTTATAGTAACATCCAGGTTTATCTTCCTTTCACTAACCACGTTCCCTGTTAAGCACATCATAACAACAGCACAGTGAAGGAAATGATGAAATAAAAGAATTTGGATACACTAGAAAACAGTGCTCAGTGATACATTTACATTCTATTTATATGATTAACCATTTGATCATACAGTACCTTCCTACAAGATTACTGGCTAATTTGGGGGTGGGGTTATACTGTTAGAGGTATTACTAACATGATAACTATTTTCCTTATATGCAAACATTAGAGCTATAATTTTATTGAGAGTAAAACTGATTATGCAAGTTGATTGAGCAGCTTCTCAAATAATGTGGTTTATGAAGTTATGGGAACTATGAGCAAAGCTGCCCTGGACATAAAATGGTTTCTCAACCTGCTTTTCACCACATCAAATTTAATCAGTACAAACCAACACAGTCAATCAGATAATTCTTAATGTGAACAAATGGGGAAGAAGAAAAAATATATATGTACATGAATAAACAGGGGAACTAGATGCATTTCAGCAAGGAATGTCAGGTGGCAGTTCTGGATGAAACTCGTGCTGCAGCCCTCACTTCCACAGTTGCGTGCTCAGAGTCTGACCCGACGAGCCCCCGGACCACCCTGCTGTCGTGCTGGGGGGCTGGCCAAAGCCCAGCGCGGGGCTCGCACTGCCCATGCTCATGCCGGCCATCTGCTGATTCACCTGTGAAACACATACAGGGTTCAGTTTAAGAAGCTCACTTCATTGTTAATTGTTTCTTTAGCCCGTTAGGCACTTTTAATAGTTACCCTATTTTATTAGAAGCTGCCTTTGTCAAAGAGATACTGAAGTTTAATAGCAATTACAGTAAGTATTTTTTGTCCATGTGAAAATCAGTCAAAGCCCTGGGGTAAAAGCAGACCACCCACAATTATTTCTCTACAGAAAACAGCCAGCTACTCTGTTCCCTTCTTATTTCCTTTTTAGCACTATATTGTACTTACTCATTTTCTAGACTCTATTTCTTGCTCTCCACATATTAACCACAAATGAAAAAAAAAGTGCCAAAATAATCTTTGAATTCGTTATCTGGGTATACTGAGTCCACTATTCTAACTTTCAACTCTACTAGTGCTTTAACTACTAAAGAGTAAGTGAATTTTAAAAGATAAAATACTCCAAAATTATAAATTGTGTATTATAGCTATTATTCTGCTTTTATAAAAATCTTAAGTGGTTCTATGTATTTTCTAAATATTAAAGAAAAGGTCAGTAAGCATACATTTTTTTCCTTTGCTTAGCTAACCACATAAAACATCTAAAATTTTCATTGTATGATAAGATATAAGATTTCATGTGTTTTTCTTCCAGACTGGTCATTTCCTTGTGGTTCTCTCACGTCTAAGATGACAGGTTAAGGAAAGGCAAGAGAATTGACTACAGAGTGGAGTCAAAACCTATGCTCACGGTTGGATTCTATTCTTAATAGAGTTTGTTTGCAATATTTCAAAGACACTGTTAATCACACCACTGATGAGTGTCTGCAGGGGCGGGTTGCTTCTGATACCTACTCAAGGATGTTATAACCACCTTGTCACTGGCCAAAAGCTCCCACACAGGAAGTACTGGAGAACAGCCTTCGGGTGGCCTGGAAGTAAGCCAACGCCCTCCTGGCTCATCCAGGACCTTGACCTGGGTGTGCTTTAGCATTCTGGCTACCCAAAAGCTGTTGCTGCCACTTGGTACTTACCACTGAGATTCCCAGAGACTAGAGACCAATGTCATACAGATGTTCCTTTAAACAGTGATAGTAAAAATAATTTGAAGCATTCATGGGATATACAGTGATTTTGCTAATGTTGGTTAGAAATCACTATAGGCTATTCCTCGAATGCCCTCAAGGTAAAACAGCTGACCAGAACAGGAGTAAAGATCACCAAAATGCTAGAGAACCATCAAATAGGAAGCACAAAGGGAAGAGAAGCGGGACCATCAACCCGAGTCTGAGGGCCTTTCTGTGGAGTCAGGACAGAGCACCTAAAATGGAAATGCACTTGAAGGAGGTAGTACGGATGTGTCATCTCTTGGCCCTAAACAGGATTTTATAATATGAAGGGATGTCTCAGACAAATATGGACTTGTTCATATTTTATGGGAATTTTTGAACTAGTGTGTACTCTTAAAATATAAACCTAATTATAAGATCAATAAAAAGGAAATACAACTTTAGAGGTTTTAAACAAAAATATTTTTTTACAAATCCATGGACAGCAGCCACATGACATGGAGAACAGCCTGCATCCCTCACAAAATAGTGCTTTGAGACTAGATTTTTTCCCTAATTTGTGAAAGCTACACCTCCTCCCCCCACCCTCAAATTCGTGAAGACAGGTTGGTCTAAGTAGACTATAAAAATGCCCCAGGGGGCTGGGCTAAAACTTACTAATTTCAAAGGTGGCAGACAAGGAGTCTCTTAAGACGCCTGAGATAATTCCTAACGGTTAGAACTAGATTAGGGATGTTCACCATTAGTTGTTATAATCTGAAATGAAAAATGCTTTAACATTTTTTTACAGAATACCAAATAGGGACAATGATAGGTCATTTGTCTGTCTGATGTAACTTCATTATCTCTACTCAATTCTTTCTGTCAGATTATTAACTTAAATACAAATAAAACCATTTAGAAAATAAATCCGGTTTCTTTGATTTTTGGATAAGGGGGAGAGTAAATGACCCTTACCTGTGATAGGTTCCACTGGGGCTGTTGAGCTTGTGGCAGGCCAAATTTACTCTGGGGTACGCCCATCTGTCCTACCATTCCTCCTTGGGGGCCAATCACATTTTGAGGCAGTGGCATCACACCAGTTTGTGCATTTCCCATAAACCCATTGGGGATGGGCATGCCCACCATCATGTTTGCACTCTGTCCCATCACATTTCCCATAAGGCCAGGAGCTGCAGGCACAGGTACACCCATTGACGGAAAACCTTGAAATGCAGTCGGTGCTTGTGAGGTAAATGGTATACTTGTGGGTCCCATAAATACACCTGCATCATAAGGACCAAGAAAAGAAAGAACAGGGTTACTGTTACAACTGCGAACATCACTATAATCACAGAAAAACAATTATCATCTTTCTGAACTACCCATAGCAAAAATTTTAATTCTGGTCTGGCTGCTTCTACTGCTCAGACCAACTCACACCCTAAACCCTCGGAGCTGGTTATTTCCAGAATGCAGAACGCAGAACCTCAGCAATTTAAATTAAAATAAATACATCTTATAATAGCTACATAAAATATCCATTGTGAAGACCAAACTGCATAGCATGAGATGACGTGCTGTTTCTGCTGACCTACACCACTGGTCTCCCACTACCAAACATACAAGTGCAAGTTCACTGTGTGTCGCTTCAAGGGAAGCAGTTGGGATGTCATATAATTTCAGCTCATATAGGAAATGAAGCTCATTATTTTAAAAAAGAGAGTGACAGATTAAAACTGTAAACAACAAATCTGTGCTAGTATTTCATTATAATTTTTTAAATCTCAAACCTTTTTTGGAATTCATGTAATAATTCAGGCTGCTTACTGTTTATGTGCAGAGAAAATACCATACTGTACAGTTAAAAACTTCATGCAAATCAAATTTAAATTCTTCAAAGATACTCCATGTCCTAAAAGCTTGTGAAACAATATTGATATATGAACAGCTTGTTGATTCTAAATGAATAAAGCTTTGTGACTCCTGTATCTGCTTTTTAATTCTAGTGTTTCATTTCAGTTTTGTAGTTGTGTAAATGGCAACAACAAAAGCACTTATTACATAGAAAAATGGGGAAGAAATATAATTGATATAACCACAAGAATCTACTTCTAGTAATGTCACTGCAGTCCCTCAGAACAGACTTCAAAATGAATTACCAGGCGTGCTCTGCTGCTGAGTGGTCCCTGCACCGTACAGAGACAAGATGGAGTCTTTGGAGAGCTGTTTCTTTACCACCTCTTCTGACTTGGTCATTTGTTCAGTGAATAGATCCAGATCCCCAGATGTTACTGTAGACACAGTGGCAGCTACTGGTACAGAGGACGTCCCCTGAGACAAACACCAAAACATGGCTCATCCATTACTTAAAATCCAAGTGAAGTTATGAAATTAGAAATTCAACAATTGTAGAAGGTAAAATGGTGCATTAAAGAGGATCATTCAACAAGCCCACACAAAAACATCTAGGATAAAGGTACAACGTTTTCTATTTTGAATGTATTAATGTGTAAGAGGTAGATTGAGACTCTTTTGTAATAAACTGTGTTTACCTGCTAGACTGATGCTGGGTTCAACAAAAAGTAGGGTATGTGGCTGCTGTGTGAGCACCACCATTCCTGGGAAATGCTCAGGCATCTCCCTCAGCAACTACTGCTTCCAAGAACTAGTATCACTTGGAATAAAGAACATTTCTACAACTACAGAAGACTGTAAGAGGGTCCTGCAAAGGCTGATTTTGTCTTGGGGGGGGGGAGGTGTCAAAACCTGCACTATAATACTCTTATAAACCTAATCTAGATCGGTTTTAACGACAACCTTAGAATGCTTCTAGTCTATCCAGAAATGAAGGACAGCAATACTTCAACCACCTCCACTCTCAACCATATCTTGTATTCTACTTTTGGAAAAGGGGCAAATGAACACAAATCCAAATAAACATGGACATTTAACACAGTAATTTTCACTTGATCTCCTCTACCTTGCACATAGGTGGTAGTATACAATCACAATGGATAAGCTAACGACCTCTGCAGTCATTGAATAGCCCATATTTTTTCAATCCTATTCACATTTGTATATATGGAGGGTGTCAAGAATCCTATGAAGACTAGTAAAAACTGAGAGTAAGAGTCTTCTCAAACTACAGAATAAGGTGAGTACCAAATAGAAGTTAAAAATCATGTATATGATTTACCTTGACTTTTTAAAAAATCCAAACATTTACCATCTTTGCTAAAACAAACAAAAACAAAAAGCCTTGCCATAAATTACCATCCAAGCACTGTACTCACAAACTAATTTAAGCAGAACAGTATTTTGAATCTATTATGACAAATTAAGCAAGAATTTTGAGAAAGAAAAAAAAAAGCCACTTAATTTTGCAAAAGATCTGAAATGTGTAAAATCAGACGTGATGGGATAACAAATATAACAAATATATGTCTGAACTACCAATGAAGCGGCAAAGATCACAGAGGCTGAATGCGGGCTGTGGAGCCAGCCTGCCAAACAAGAGCCCACTATTTACAATAAGCAAGCCCTAGACAGTCACTTACTCTCCACTGTCTCTCTAGTCAAGTGGGATGACATTACCCACCTTCAAGGGTTGTTTGACCACAAGAAGTAATTTGCACAACAGCAGGGAGAAGCACATAGTATTTGTTAATACTGTTCTGTAACAAAGCAACCACCTCACTAAGTGATCTTTTCATCATGTTTAGTTTCTGTTCAAGAACCTGCTCAAAAACCCTGAGGTCATACCTTGTGGAGGAGACTTAACTATAAGAAAACCCAAGATGGTAGGGAAAGCTATCACTCTAGTCTCATACTAGAACCACCTAATACATGCTCTAAACATGGGCATTTCTTTCGATGAGGGTAGACAACATGGAACATCTACCTCAACATGGACATAGTCTAAAGACAGCCAAACCAAAGAGCATGCCTAGTAAACACTCCAATGTCCATTTATTATTATTCCTGGTGCCCCCTTTGCCAGCACAACTCCAGGATATAACTTCTGCCTGTCACTTTTCACTTCAGGAGGCTGCAGGACCCTGAAGCAAAGGCTTTCTGACTATCTGATCAGCCCTGATCCCAGGGCTGAAACAAGGAAAGGCCACAGCACTTGTGCAGGTCAAGATACTGTTGGTGTACACATACTATAGGTAGAAAAGGAAAGGGATGGCTTCTGCATGTCAGCTTTGCAGGCTCTGGAACAATCCTCTTCAACCCCCAGTACACATGTATACTCTGGTAAGCATTTCTAATCCCCGTAGGGAATACTACACAGGCAGGTAAAGCAATCTATTTCATATTCACAGGAGTGGGAAAACCTTACTAGAATTTGTACTACGCTCAGAAAATAAAATCAAGAGTGAAAGAACGTAGGGTTCAGAGTACTGTTAACCCTTAAACAATAGGTTTAAACTGCACAGGTCCACTTATACACAAATTATTTTTCAATAAATACAGTACTATAAATTTATTTTCTCTATGATTTTAACATTTTTTCCCCTAGCTTATTTTATTGTAAGAACACAGTATATAATACATAGACAAAATCTGTGTTGATTATTTCATGTTATTGGTAAGGCTTCTGGTCAACAGCAGGTTACCAGTACAGTTTTTGGAGAGTCAAAAGATATGCAAATTTTTGACTGTGCAGGGAGTCAGTACCCCTAACCCCCCACATTGTTCGGGGGTCAACTATAGTTCCTACTGGTGTCCAATAAATTTCACATTAAACACCAAAATTAGTAAATTACATAGTACCAGTTATGCATAAAAATGTATACTTTAACCCACTTCCACCATTTTCAAAGATAGTATTTTAAAAACATGTCTGGATTTTAATCTTTACATGTAGTTTAGATGAAATAATTCTGTTCAAGTATAGGATTCAATAAAACGGGCACAATTCTGGTTCAAAACCAATGTTCAAAAAAGAATTAGGTCTGATTAAAAAAATTTGCCCTGTTCTGTCAGACAGTGATGTAGAATGTCCAAAGCCATGGAAGCCAGACCAGCCCCTCATGACAGCAAAAGCTATACATAACACACTCCTCGTCATGGCTACTTAAGAGTTAAGTGAAGTCTGCATTGTTCCCCTTGCTGCTCTAATACTTAACACATGAAGTACATTGAAGCCTCGATGTGGGTCTAATTCTCCAAGCAGGTGCAAAGCAACTCTTACACTCCAGTGGAATCTAAAGAAGTCTAACAGACAAACCAACCTCACTAGACGGCTAGACCGAAAGAAATTGCTTTCTATACTCAAGAGTGTCAAATACTTCTTTCTAAGCCACAGTGTTAGTATTAGACAGTTGTTGGTTTTTATCACATGCATACCCAAGCCTGCACAAATTCACAAGGTAAATTAATGTTAACTGAAACAGTAGTAGCAACGCTTAGTCCCTCTTTCTATGTGTTGGGGGCAGGGGGAGGAGGAGGGGCTCAGCCATAAAATAAAGCTCTTTTCTGAAAATAACAATGCTGCAGACAATTTTGATAAAGATTTAAACTAATTATTCCTAAGAAATCTATTTGCTCAATTCTAGTGGTAATTAGACAATAAACATGTAATAAAAATACATGTAATTAGTCTTCTCAATAAGACATAACTTCTGTCTTATTAAAACTTTCCATCCAAACAATTCCCATTTGGTTCATTTTTTTCTAGAGAAAAGGAAATATTTTACCTCAAAAATTATGCTGTACTTAAACTGTTTTTTTAATTATAAGGTGTAAGTTTAAAATAGAATCTTAAAGTCGTATGCTTAGGAGTAACCCATATTCCTGAAAGTTCATATATTTTACCTTAAAGACAGACAAATACTGCATGACTGCATTTATCACTTATATGTGTAATAAAATAAAAAAATCAAACTCATAAAAACAGAACAGAATGGTGGTTGCAGAGGCTGGGGGTGGCGGAAATACAGGGAGCTTGGTACAAGCATGCAAACTTTCGGCTATAAGGTGAATAAGGTCTGAGGAGCTAATGTATAGATAACACATGGCTACAGTTGATTATACCTTATTGTATAACTGAAATTTGCTGAAAGAGTAGAACTTATGTTCTTACCCTCACCCCCAAAAAGTAAAAATGTGTTAACTTGATGGTGGGAATCCTTCCACAATGTATACATAATATCAAATCATTTCGTTATGCATTTAAAATACATTACAATTTTGTCAGTTATATCTCAATGAAGCTGAAATAGTATTTAAGGTATTAAACAATTTATAATTTTAATAAATGAATAAAGGCAAAAAAAGAAATTCCATGTAATGTTCAGAAAGCAATTCAAAATTTCTTTGCCATTAATACTTTTTTAAAAAAATCCTGATCACTAATATTATGTTCTAAATAGTGTCTTAAAAATCAGTAAAATAAAAAAGTAAGGTAGGTTTAAAGGCTAACTTAAAACAATTTTCTTCATAAAAAAGAATTTGAGTACTGAATTTGCTAGAATTTCTTATTCTCAGTTTTCCTGCAACCAGAAGTAAATACTATCTTAGGGATGGCTCAATAGAGCACAAGAAAGAACTACTGTCTTCCAGTCAATAGTTAGTTACCCACAGTTTAAATACTTCAGAGGTAAGTGACCTTGATGATCTCAGGAAAGGCTGAAATAATCTGAGTTTTCCTCCTTGTTCATTTGAAACACTGTTGTTTGCCTAAAGCCAAAGTTAGCAAACTTTAGGCAGTGAATATTTAGGCTTTGTGGCTCATACAGTGTCTCAACTATTCAACTTACTTTTTAGTATGAAAGCAGCCACAGACAATTTGTAAACGAATAGGAGTGGCTGTGTTCCGATAAAACTTTATTTGCAAAAAAGCTGCAAGTTTAGTATTCCAACTCCTGGCCTAAAGAACAGGCGGCTTTCAAATCAGTGTCTGAAATTTTGACACTTTTAGGAAAGGAAATAAGCAGTAATTATGTAAAACCATATTCTTCCACATACCTGAGCTGGGGGCATGACAGTTGCAGGTAAGGGATTAGAAATCATTGGTCCAAAGATGTCCAGATCATCATTCAGAGCCGGCACTGCGGTCGTATTCCCATTAGTCACTGGTGCGTCCGCAGGACCATCTGAAAAGAACATAGATTCTTGTCTCAGTACTTGAACATGGCATTATTCAAAATATGGTTAAAAAAAAGAACAGTCCAAAAAGTTGAACAAAATATATCTTCCCTTCTACTCCAGGTTCTATCCTGTTACTCAAAGAAATCATTTCCAGTTTTTTGTTTTTTGAAATATGTCTTTATTGATTTCAGAGAGAGGAAGGGAGGGATTTCAGAGAGAGAGGAAGAGATAGAAACACCAATGATGAGTCATTGATCGGCTGCCTCCTGCACGTCTCCTACTTGGGATCCAGCCCACAACCCAAGCATGTGCCCTGACTGGGAATCAAACCTCGATTTCCTGGATCAAAGGTCGATGCTCAACTACTGAGCCACACAAGCCAGGCAGCATTTCCAGTTTTATTTATTCTTCCAGAAAAAGTTTTACCCACCATATTCAATATTCATTATGTATATCCAAGTAGAATATATATGTGTGTGTATATATATACACACCCATTCTAGGTATATATAAAAAAATCTTTTTAAAAAATGGTATCATACATTGACATTATTCTGTATCCTGATGCTTCCTTATATGCCAGGACTGTTTTGAGTACTTTATATGTATTAACTCATTTAATCCCCATAACCTGATGAGACAGACACTACTTTTGAGTTGATTGGCTAAGCTAGGATCTGATCCCATGTTCTTACAAACAATGCCTCTTCATAAATGTGTTTGTGTGTTTTGGGTATCACTTCATATCATGTATACCTACCTTAGAAATAAATTTTGATGATTTAAGATGTCTGAATTTTTGAATTTTATAGTTACTATAAGGAAAAAAAACTGGATAAAAAGAAAGAAAACAAACATGCACTACGTAAACGGATTCTATGGGAAGTATCCATAAAACTCTGAAATAAACCCTTTCTTGGCAGTAACAAGGCACTGAGCTGTACTGGGAAAGGAACTCTGATAGGATGCCAACATCCTCTATCAGCTTCCTACTTACCCTATCATTTGAAAAACCTTTTTAAATATCTCCTTTTTATGTCAGTGCAAAATTTACAAAGTGTAAGGGGTGGGAGTTGGAGTGGGGTGAGGTGGGGTGAGGTGGGGTGAANTAAACCCTTTCTTGGCAGTAACAAGGCACTGAGCTGTACTGGGAAAGGAACTCTGATAGGATGCCAACATCCTCTATCAGCTTCCTACTTACCCTATCATTTGAAAAACCTTTTTAAATATCTCCTTTTTATGTCAGTGCAAAATTTACAAAGTGTAAGGGGTGGGAGTTGGAGTGGGGTGAGGTGGGGTGAGGTGGAGTTTGAGAGAATGGTATTCCAGGACATGGAACATCTCACATGGTTTAGTTTTCTGTGGCCACAACCAAATAACAGAGCAGAGCAATCTCCAATCACAACTCCAATCTCTGGCACTTCTATCCTAATTGAGCTTCTATTTTAACAATCTGCAATCTCATTTGATCTCTCTTTGATATACCATACACTTGTCAAAAGCAAATCAGTTATTTTTTAAAAGTTCTTCAATACCGAGTGGGATGTCTTGCATAGAACAGGTACTTAAATATTTGACAAATGTAATTAATGAAAGGTCTATCATGTATACTCAGTGTTTCTACCACAACCCACAGAAACTCAAAGGTTTCTTCTCTTTTTTTAAAGTAGAACTATAGAAATTGGTATCTTTTATTTTCCTGTTTGAAGCTTTAGGGAATCACAAATTATTAATTTCAATGAGTAAATTATCATAATAAAATACTTTTTACTACCTAATTTATAAAAGTGTGAAGCCCCCAAAAGGTTAGTTTGGAAGAGATCAACTGCGAACCCTTTTCACTCATTTTCAGTGATAATCACATTATCAGGACCATATATATATATGTATTACACATACCTAGGACTATGGACAAGTTAAAGGTGAAGCAATAAAGCAATGCACAGATTACTAATTTGCAACATAAGAATTTTAAGCTATGACACAACTATGACATAAAAGCATTCAAATATGACTTATATAAGAAAGTAATTTTTTTCATTTCTAACCATTTCAAGTGGCAACCTTCATGCTGAAGTTAGACCTCTTTGAAGATCTATTTTGTTTCCCAGTCCATTCCACACTCCATTTACACGATGTATATAGTACATCATGTATATAGTACATTGTGTAAATATGAACCAGAAATAAATAGTTTAAAAGGACAAGGTATTCTAGATTAAAAACACAACTAAAGGAACATCTTTGTGGTATTACAACAGCTCAGTAAATAAACTCAGTCCAATGACATGTAAGCCAGTGGTGCTTTAACCCATAAATTGCAGTGTGCAGGGTAGGGGAATGTCCACATCAGAGACATTTAATTCAATAACAAAATGTGACTATCTTATATATCTGTAATTTCAACTCACAAACAGAAGCATATGTCCTCCCCAAGACAAACTAAAACCCAAGAACAAAAGTATGAAAAGATAAAGCTAACAGGTTGAGTATAAATAATTATTTCCAATTTTACAGTTAAATTTGCTTTTTGTAGTAATACCAAACACTAACAATTAGGATAAATTTATGGGGGAAAATCCTTAAATGTGAGAAAATACTATTTTTCCCTTTGGTGAATTAGGAAAGTACTATCAATTGGATTTTTACCACAAGCCATGTGAATGTAGTCAAAACCCCTGAGCCAACGATGCATTGTGTGAGAACCAGGCAGTTAACGTAATACAGCAAATGACCTGTTTTTATGACTTTTATACTGTACATATTTCAGCAACTTTAAGACTATTCTAAGTAGTGCATTATACTCCACTAAGAATATTAACTTATTGCCCGGCCGGGCGTGGCTCAGCAGTTAAGCGTCGACCTAGGATCCAGGCGATCAGGGTTCGATTCCCGGTCAGGGCACATGCCCAGGTTGCGGGCTGCAGCCGATCAATGACTCTCTCATCATTGATGTTTCTATCTCTCTCTCCCCCTCTCCTTTCCTCTCTCTGAAATCAATAAAGATATATTAAAAAAAAAAAAAGAATATTAACTTATTTATACTTCAAATCTAAAACCTATCCGGCAGTACACTATCTAACCTGTAAAACAACACAGAGCATTTTATTTGGTTTTTGAAGTCTTATTTTACCCTTCACACCCTTAGGATCACACATGTAACTAGTAAAATAACAGCCAACACTTAGTATAGTGCTTGTTTTGTATGAAGCCTGAAAAAATGCAAATACACACATAAACACATATGCATTTGTTTAATCTTTATAGCAATGCTATGAGAGAGGCACTATCAACAATTATCCTCATTTACAGATAGCAAAAAAAAGTTATACTTGTCTATTATCACAGAACTAGAGCAAAGCCTGAGGTGGTAATCTTATTCAATTTTTACTCTAAAAGCAACACATTCTTGTAAAAGATGTAAACCATGCAAAAACGAGTAAGAGTTCCCTACCATGGATGATGATGGTGATTGCACAGTAATGTGAATGTACTGAATGCCACTAAACTGTACTCTTAAAACTGGTTATAATCTTAACTTTCATGTGTATTTCACCACAAAAAAGCCCCTGACCATACATTTTCTATAAACATGCTTAGAACAATGTACATACAACGAACAGTTTTCTTTAAATAAAACTGTGTATGTGTTAGTGGGGGTGGACTGCATCCTATGATGTTGCACGGAGCTACAGTAAGTGATTTAATCAATCCTTCACTACTGGGCATTTAGGTAGTTTATAGACTTTCACCATACAAAAACAGAACAGCAAACACCCACAGTTCTTAATAGAAAAGGCACACAGTTCACTTCCTTCACTGCAAGGTAACATGACTTCTGTTTCTACCATTGCAATATAAACAGCTCCATTTTCACATTCTGATTAAAAAAATTTTTTTAAACTGGCCTCCTGAAATCTCAGAAAGGCATTCCGCACAAACAACAAAATTGGACTCTCTCTGTAACCACCTACCACAATTAGTGGAACAGCCATGAAAGTTAACTCACAATGTAAGTCCAAGGGACTCTGGAATCCTTCAGAATGAGAGGGAGGGACATCTGCCTAGGGACAACAATCGTTGTGGCCAGGCTGACACTATCTTCAAGCGATTGGGAAGAATTTTCTCTTAGCTCTGAAAAACTTTCTTCCTGGCCGAATAATAGACGCAAGTGACTCTCCTCTGCTCTCACATCTACAACATACTTGCCCTGCTTTCTCTTTAATCCATTCTTCTACCCATATGATCCCCTAATATGATGGACTTCACCCCCATCACTTTTCCTTGTTACTACAAAATATAAGCAGTCACAGAACTGTTGAAAAACAAAACTTTAACCTAAATGAAAACTTCTCGGCCTTGCAAAAGTCAATAAATACAAGCTCCCAGTAGGTTTTCCCAACGGATTTCAACGTCTGCTAATTTGACTCACTACACATTTGGCTTGCTAAACATATTCTTTAAAAAAGATTGTTTCAATTCACTTTAAGGTTGTTTTTTATCTCAGTATTTAAAAAGGACAGTTAAAGACTAGTTATCATTATCATCACTATAAACATCATGTTTCCTGGACGTTTTTATAGAATGTTTACATGTTATCATTTTGTCTCCATGAAATACGGGAAGGGCCTCTCCTTCCATTATCTCCAGTTACAGAAAACAGGACAGGCAGATTAAAACACTTGCTCAAGGTCACGTCCCTAGTTCAGTAGCAAAAAACTTGCACTAGAACAATCTTCTGACCTCCAGACTAGTTGAGTGCTCTTTTCCTTAAACCACATTTCATCAAAAATCAGGTACTTACAACTGACCCTAACTTAAAGAAATCCCTTTAAATTATGAAAAAACCAACTTTTAAATAGTTTATAATTATTTGTACTAAGTTAGAGAAGCAGTGACAAAAACAGTTCAAGAAACAGTTCAGAAGCCATTCAGTACCACATTCATAGTTCTTCGGCATCTCCCCATTCCACTCTCCTCCTGCCAAGCCTAGTATCTTCTCAGT